CCAAATGTGGAGTTTGTCAAGGCCAACTATAATAGGAAAACATATTTTGATAAAATCTATTCGTTTTTGTTTTATACGCAAAAAACAGATTTTGATCATTTTCATGTCTCCTCCGTAACTTCTTTATTTATGAAAATATGTGAATAGGAATTTCATATTCTCATGGCAGTTTTTCAAAGTGATTTTGAAAAAAAATATGAAATTTATACCAACTCTTCTAAAATTTGAGATATCAGCACCAACTTTAGTTTTTCAAATGTGGGTCATAGCTCATTATGACTAAGTTACAAAAAACGTTTTTTTCTGTTTTCGATGATATGTTGCAGTGATAGTTTAGTGTTGATAACAACGGAGTTATCGTCATTTATACAAAAACAAGAAATTATTTGGAAGCCGCCATCTTGAATTTATAAATATCAACAGAAAAATTATGATCTCCGACCTAAAAAACCCCTACTCACCAATTTTGAATGGAATCGGACCCAATCTTGTCCGACATCTTGGAGCAGCCATTTTTTTTAATTTCAACAAAAATTCCATAATGTATTGTCACCGAAATTATGAACACCTGCCAAATTTCAAATTGATCGGAGTTATGGAATTTTTGTTGAAACTAAAAAAAAATGGCTGCTCCAAGATGGCGGACAAGATTTGGTCCGATTCCATTCAAATTTGGTAAATAGTGGTTTTTGAGGACGGAGATCATGATTTTCTTGTTAAAATTTATGAATTCAAGATGAAGGCTTTCAAATAATTTTTTGTTTTTGTATAAGTGACGATAACTCCGTTGTTATCAACACTAAACTATTACTGCAACACATCATCTGAAAGAGGAAAAGAAGTCGTAACTAAGTCATAGTGAGCTATGACCTACATTTGAAAAACTAAAGTTGGTGCTGATATCTCAAATTCTAGAAGAGTTGGTATAAATTCCATAATTTTTTCGAAATCACTGCCATGAGAATGTGAAATTCCTATTTGAATATTTTCATAAATAAAGAAGTTACGGGGGAGACATGAAAATGATCAAAATCTGTTTTTGCATATAAAACAAAAACGAATAGATTTCATCAAGATCTTTTTTCACATCATAGTTGCGGCCTTGACAAACTTCACATTTGGTGTTATTCAACCGACCTCGTATCTCTCACTGTTAAAAAAATACCCATGGTGAGCATGGTAAGTGGGACACACTGTATACCATACTACCATGCTACCATACACCTAAAGGCGCGTATTCACCTGAGCACGAACGGGAACGAGGCCAAGTGAGGCCGAACGAGCGTGCGTAGTGTGTACGTCACAACGAGGCGCGGAAAACGGTGCGGTGCGCGGTCCGAAGCAGTTCGAATGCCATCCGATCGGTGTCGGTACTTCAAAGAAAAATTTGAATATATGTGGACGGCATTGGTGCCGCCGCACGGGGTGGATCGCTGCCTCGTTCGTTGCCTCGGATGCTTCGTTTCGCCATCATACAAAAATACGAACGAGGCATTCGTTCGGCCTCACTTTGCCTCGTTCCCGTTCGTGCTCAGGTGAATACGCGCCTCAACATACCCAATTCAATAACGCTATAGCTTTTTGAATCCAACACTGTTAATATTCTATGAGGTGTAAATGATTCAGAGATGAAATAACTGGTTTGCACATTCTTCCATCACACTCGATGAGGAAATGAGATGGTTAGTTGTTCGAGTGTTATTGTATATACAGAGAGGGCCTTTGAAAACGAAACAGAGGCTCCGTAGGTCGCCAAAACCGAATCATTGAAGAAATCTGAAACGAGTCACTACATTTTTTCGAGAGGGACATCGTTCGAAAATATCTTCAGCCCTGCGGCGTTGTCGCTTCTGACGAAAAGAAGAAACAACTTTATTGTTACTTCTCTCCGAAGAGCTGATTACATCACTGCATCACACTTGGGGTCTAGCTGTGATGGTTTCAGGGATATAAAGAGTTCAAAATCGAGATTTTTCAACTTCAGCATTTTTTGTATCGAAACTATTCATTATTGGTCACGGCTCACATGTCCCTATCTCAACTCGTGATTTACTATCTACTGACATTAATTTGAAACAAATACAGGGTGGTTGAAGATTCAGAATTCTGATACCCTGTATCTGTTCCAATTCGCTGGCGCTCGGGCTCTTACTCACACGCTAAGGTCTACAAAAGCATACTGCAAGCCCTTGATACATAATGGTTATCAATGTATCAAGGACGATAAGTATACAATTATGGCCTGCGGCGTGAATCATGACCCGAAGGCGCCTGCCGAGGGCCATTACACGCTGAAGGCCATAAACGTAATTTATGTACTAGCGGGCCGTAAAGTGCACTTCTCCGCCCGGTTTTGCGGGCGTTAAGTCGCACTTTACCGCCCGCGGGCTCATTATGGCCCACGGGCCGTAAAGTACACTTTACTGCCCACTGTTCTCAGTCACCTTATATCCACATATCAATTTATAAAAAACCTATGATCATATTCCCAGATTCTTATATATCCAGCGGTATATCATTAACTTCTTCTTCATCCGATTCCATAGTCTCGCTATTATTATTATCACTAATTTTACTTTTCAATCAAAGAATGACAATTCAGCTCGTTTATTGGATGTATTGCTATAGACAACAACCATCAGATTGATTGACAACGTCAAAATGAGTTAGGTTTATATACTGGGGATGCATATTGTAAAATTCTGAAGAATGAATCTCTTCTACAGCTGAAAGAGTTTTACTATTCATCATCCATGAATATTACGCTTCTCTTGATTACTGAATTTATAAGTAACAAATTAAATTCTAGGGAACATTAGTTTATCGAAATCTATAGTCATTACTTATGAGTCAGAAAATAAACCACTAGTGCATAAAATTTTGTATGTATCTCGTGCGTGAAATGCTTTTATGGCCTTCAGCGTGTAATGGCCCTCGGCTAGCGCCATCGGGCCATTATTCACGCCACAGGCCATAAACGCCTACTTAACGCCCTTGATACATAAATAACTATTACGCACGTGATGCTTACAACATTTTATACACTAGTGATCCATTTTTCGAGTAAAAAAGAGATGACTAAATCTCAATCAACAACATTTCATATATGCCGTGAGAATGTAGTTATCAAGAGAAGCGTGATAGTTATGGGGAGTTCACATAGCTATTGAAATTAAAGTATGAATTATTACGCAATTATTGTGACAGTTGAACTCTTCGTTCAGATAAAGAGATTGATTTCTTGTAATGTTACAAAATACATACCCAGCTTATATCTACGTATGGACTTGACGTTGTCAATCAAGCTGATATGGCTGTTGTCTATAGCAATACATTGAAAATCAAGCTGAATTGTCATCCTGTAGGTGAAAACTTCAGACAGCAAGAAGGCAATTCTTCGAAGGAATGCGTTAGTAGAGTGAAGATTATTGGAATGGGATGAAGAAGAACATGTATATATACAATATACCGCTAGAAATCATAGAATCTGCTCAATGTGCGAACATAGTTACTTCATAAGAAGACTTTCTCGGCTTGCGGCCACAAAGGGCCCGCAGGTAGTGAAGTGACACTTCACGCCTGCAAAACTTGGCGGTAAAGTGAGACTTCACGCCCGCAAAACCAGGTGGTGAAATGCACAATTCCGCCCGCTAGTGCATAATAATTATTTCATTGACCGTAGAGTGCCAAGTTCCATAAGAACAAGTTGCGCCCGAAATACATATACACATTTCAAGCACCGGCATATTGGAAGCGACGTTTCTATGATAACTCAATCAAATTTTTGAAATATGAGTAGACTATTATATTCACTGTCAATTGATGTCATCATAGATCACTTATTTTTGGTGCAATCATATCATTGTGCCCCTCGAAGATATCAAGAGAATTATAATATTAGACAAGAAACTATGACAACTGAAACATAAATGTCCCGAATTTCACGAGTTATATATTCGCCCAGCGGTGGAGTAGCCCACTAGCGGTGCTACTTTATACGCCCCATTTTGGAAATCTGAACAATTAAACAGCTCAAGTGACAGAAAAAAAAGTTAAACACTGGATGTTGTCATCGAGTGATCATTGATTTATCATTTTCATATCCAGATTTGCTATTTTTTCTGTGACGGGAAAAAAGTTTGGCATTTCATCTCTGTTGGCAGGTTATAAAATGTCACTTTCCATAAATTACTTTTTTCCTGTGGAAAAAGAGTGAGTACTTTCATATCACATGTATATACACTGTTGATGGCTTTTGTTGTGCTATAGTTCCGAAAAATGAGTCAATAATACCGTCTCCGAGAAAAAACTGCAAGTCCTTTTATCTTCCATTCGACTTCGCGGTTACGAATATTAAACAACTACTGAATTCGCAATTTTTCGAAATAGAATCACAAAATTAAACTGACAGAAGTGACATCAGATATTTGATTACTTCAAAAGAATATACTGTTAAAAACTCAAAATTTCACGTCGATAGATTCCAGATTTCAAAATAATGCGATATTTTTTCAATATTGATAGGTCCATTCTCCTGTCACAGAAAAAAATTGTGTATTATACACGGGGAAATATATTAGATTTTAGCTCACGGTTTTTTGTCTTCCTCCGCTATACGCGTCGGGAGACAACACAACCTGGAGCTAAAATCTACTACTTTTTTCCCTTGTATAATAAATGACTATTTTTCTGCCCTGGCGAATCCATGCTGATACTTTGAAATATTCAAACTCGAACGATAAATTATTGATGCCGCTATATGAATTGGGGCATCTTTGTCAATCACCCTGTATATGATATCATAATATGGAATGTAAGTAATATGAATATGATATGGAAAAGTTGTTCAATGACGCATGAAGTAAAACGGAAGATAGATTTTCACATCGATCCAATTTAATTTGATCCATTCCACGTGAGGAATGGTAGGGGAAATTATCTAGTATCGAATTCCTGAGTTCCGGATTATTACAGGTAACATATTCTTCTAGTTGGTGAACGAACTGTTGGGGCTTCATAGTGAACCTTATCAAAATTTGTATTGTTCTTCAAATAGCCTTTCACAATATTTACCTACTTACTACCACTAAGCCGCAGTCTGACGAATAGTGGAGAAATTATCAAGTATTTAACTTAGTTTTACAACCAATTGTGCGTGCATATTAGAATAAGATAATGTCTTCTCAGTAAGATCATTGACCATTATATTGTGTTTCATGTTGAAATTATTGAAATATGACGGGAACGAAGAATGGAGAAGAATCCCAAATGTCAATTTTCAAGGCGAATGGATCAGCAATAACTAATGTAAGCATACATTCTCTATATAACCAGTGCTGTACAAATTGCAACTACAAATCCATATTCTGGGGAAAAATAAACTAATAGGAATTACCAAAGTACACGACATCTATATAATTCTTCATCAATTGATATAGACACTGTTCATAACTGTTCTGTAACTATTTCTGTCACGTTTTCTGCTCACTATTGATTCAAAATTCATTCGATTCAATATCAATCGGATGAAAAATCAATGATCGGAAAATTAAAGTGAATATGAATTGATGAATACTTCGCTAGATCTATACATTCTCCGATCGAATCATTTTTGATCGAATGAAGCTCGATAAAATTATCCTGATCTGATAGTTACTGTTCAGAGATCGGTCGTTTGATATACATAATAAAAAAAATTGGTTGCACAGCATTGAGATCCCGGAAACAGTAGGAGAGACCAATTTTTGCGGATTGGATGGAAGTTGCGCCTTCAGACGCTTATTTCATCAACTTTTGGAAATATACTGAAGTTAATGAAGTTTTCCAGTTATAGCCAAAGATAGAATTTTCGGTGAATCAAAGAAATTTCGAACATATTTCCATTCCAACTTTCAATGGATTTGGATGTTGTAATATTGATTTATCTCTGCGACGTTTTGTATTCGCAGAACCATCATCAATTCCTTCCACAAATGACTACCTGAGTACACGACGGAAAAAAGGGAATTTTTGAATCAAGCAAAATTTAATTGAATGAAGCAAATAAAAGTGTCATATATGTACGACAAAATATAATCTTGAAATGAGTAAATCTATATCTTACTTCAGAGTGAATTTGAAGTTTGAGTTAATATGTCTTGAATGAAATCTGGATCTTATTCAATCAAGCACATTCATGAATTGTTCATGAAGAGACATTGAATTGGCTCGAACAATCATTTTGTTTGATTCGAAATAACAAGATATTGATTCAATCAGATATTTAGTTGATTCAATGAAATATTTAGTTGATTCGAAGAAATATTTGGTTGATTCAAAGAAATATTTGGTTGATTCAATGAATTATTTGTTTGATTCGATGAAATATTTGGTTAATTCAATGAATTATTTGTTGATTCGATGAGATATTTGATTAATTTAATGAAATATTTTGTTGATTCAAGGAAGATTGTATTTTTATTCGACAAATTGTTCTGTTGTATCAAATTCAGTATTGAATCGGGAGTTTTCTGAAATGTCATATCAAAAGATTAAACTAAACTAGGAAACTAGTCGACTTCTAGAATAGATCTTCAGTCTTTACTTCCCTTCAGCTGATGCAAAACTATTTCGGATTGCTAATCATCCTATATAAGTTCGATTTATCGAGCTGATATTTCAAAGACGAAGAATCCGGCCTCACGTAGGTATATGATGAATTCGAGGCATGCATAGATGGGGCGAAATGATAGCAATCTAGAGGCGAAAATGTAACTTGATGTAGAATGAACAAAATATTCCATTGATATTACATATTTCGTTGCTATAATCAAGCAGATAATCCGTTCGAAACGAGTTCATTGCTACTTCGAAAAAAAAAATTGTATGTTGTTTCAAAGATATATTCTCATCAAAATGATCATTATTTTATCAATTCAACAAAATGTTTATAGTTGAATCAACATCGACATTATTTTGGATCGTCATGATTTGTTCTTGTGAAAATTATATATTTTGTTGATGGAATTGATATTATACTGTTGATTCAATTGGACTTTATTCTTGATTTGAACAAGCTGCTTCTATGAAATAATCATGTACCTATCTGGTTGATTCAACAAAAAAGTTTTCACAAAGTTCTGAAAGAATATTTCATTGTGAATAAATTTATGTCACCCCCTTCAATGACAATGAAAATTTATGAGTGTTACTTTTGATTTATTCATATAAATATATCACTTTACATCATCAACATCATCAACATCAACATAGCTGTTGCTGTAGGTATATAATTTTCGAATTTTCAGAAGGCTGTTGGAATTATACCCTATATAGATTTTTTATATTCCCATTGCATCTTCCAATGAAATTGAATGTAATAATATTGATTCATCTCTGCGACGTTTTGTATTCGAAGAAATATCATCAACTCCTTTCACAAATAACTACCTGATTATTATGTTTTCACAAAGTTCTGGAAGAATATTTCATTGTGAATAAATATATGTCACCCCTTTCGATAACAATGAAAATATATTAGTGTTATTTTCTATTTATTCATATAAATCTATCACGTCACATCACTTTACATCATTAACATCAACATGGCTGTTGAAAACATAGTGGTAGGTAGTAGTGGGTATATAATTTTCAAATTTTCAGAAGGCTGTTGGAATTATACCCTGTATACCGGGTATAGAACAATTTTTTCAGACAAGCCATGGTCTTTAAAGTTCCGGAAGCGTGAAATTCAAATTCGACTGAAGTGTATGGGATTAGATAATTGGAAAGTATCCCAATATTTCACTTTCTCCCATCACTTGAAAAATGACCCCAACAGCCGATATTCATTTGCCAATATATATTCGACAATTGACATGGTGAATTGATTTCGTATTTCTAATATCGAATCAAATCTTTGAGAAGAATATTACATCAATCTCAGATTCATGATGATCAATGGATTCTATTATCCAGCATGCTTCCTGAATATTTCAATGATATCGAGGATAATATGGAAATGATTGAATCGTATTCTACTTCTCCTTGTATTTCATCAACAATTTATGGAGTTGTGGATTTCGATCTGAGATTTTTTATTTGATTAATTCAATTTGGGAGAATAGGGCGATTCAACTGACGCAGCTATCCACTGATGATAGAATCGCATGCACAGGTTACAAATTTATATCAGTATTCACTGCTATAAATGACATACTGAAATTCTGATTCGTATTGCCCTGAAGAATATAAATACATATTTTCAAATCTAGGATGAAAAGTTCTCATTTCGATATATATGCAAAATCTTGAGAATAACTGTGAGGATAACAAACAAATCCTATATATCCCTAATGATACTCATACAATAATCAGCTTATATGTTGAATTATCATCAAAAAGTATCAGGAATATCCAGTGCAATACACACATACATTGCATATTCGACATTAAATGGAAAGGTAGGTAACGAAATCATTATTACTATCGGTTGCACAGCGCGGTCTTCAACTTTCACTGGAAAATATTCATTTTGGTCGAAGAAATATCGAATTCTTCTTCATCTAAACAATTATAATATTTCATTCACCTATATATAAAATAATTAGTCATGGAATTGGTAGTTGTCCTATCAGGTACGAATAGTAGCCGATATCGGGTACAATTCAAGAGGTAAAAACTTGTACAGTATGGAGAATCAATAATGTCATTGACTATTTCATAGACGACACATATATCAAAGAATTGCAATCTCGAGTTCAATATTTCAAGCTTGTGATATGTAACATAACATTACCCTAATAGCACACAACGTCCTAGGGACGTCCATATTTGGAACAATTCACGTCCGAATGTCCCGAACCAAGAATAAGTGTCCTTGGGACGTTCCATCCCGTACATCTCATGTAATCTCCGAGAAAGGACGTCCACAAAATGTCCCAGTTGGTACATCATTTCAAATGTCCTAGAAATAGCATCCCTTTAGACGTCTCACGTGGTACATATTGTAGAATGTACATGCAAGGACGTCCTTGGCATGTCCCTGATAGGATATGATTTTAAACGTTCTTTTAGGGACATCCATCGGATGTCCCGAGTAGTAATTATTCTAGCATGACTTCAAATCTTATATAATGTCCCTTCTAGACAACCATGAAATGTCCCTGATGGTACATTGCTTCAAATATCTCTGCACAGACACCCTTAATATCTCCAGGATCGTGTAACAATCGGAATGTCCTTTAGGAACATCCTTCGAATGTCCCTTAGGGATATCCGTCAAATGTCCCAAGTGGTACATGAATTGTACTCTTTTAATGTCCTAGAAATAACGTCCTATGGATGTCCCAGTCGGTACTCTCAATATGTTGTCCCTGCGAGGACGTTAACTTACACCTTGCCGACGAATGATTGCTCGTAGGCTATAAGTACTCCTCGTCAATGTCCTTCACGTAAGTCCATTGGACATCCTTGGGAAACTTTTTGAGGACCTCCTACGGACCATCAACTAAACTTGATTCCTAGAGGGACCCAAAAATTCAAATTCATGAATAATTCGTACGTCCCTGGGACATCCTATGGACATTCAATTGATATCGCTTAGCGTTGCTTGATAAGGAATACTGTAGGATTCAGGTATCCGATAGTTGTCCTAGGGACATCCCTCAGGGACGTCCCTAGTTGGTCCTCAAGTGGGACATTTTTTGTGTTTCCCACAGACGTCCAATGGACGTCCACGGTACAAAATACGAACGTCCTATGGACGTCCTGAATGTCCCGACAGGACGTCCTAAGGATATCTATGGAACATGAGTGTGTTATTAGGATAATGAGAGAAAAAATGTCGTCTCTTTCCGAAACGAAAATGTGAGCTATTCATTACTTTATGTTGCACTCTTTGAATTCTACTGATCTCATCCTTTCAGAATGGATTACATATATACTATAAAGGCGTACTCTAGGGTGGCCTCGTACGAAAGATCGATCAGATCGATTTAATGATCTGGAATCTCTCGAAATGAAAGTCAATTTTCATAGTGCTTTTTGAACGATAGTCTATATATAAGGGTCAAAATCTGATTTTTTGTCAAATATACTCTCTGAGTCTTTGATTGAGTTAACGTTATTTATTGATTGTCCATTCAGTGTGAGATCAATATGAGGTGGCACTTTGCAACTGGTGATTGTTGTGATTCAGAATTTTATGTAAATATCCAGCTATATTCGAGCTACAGCCACTGTAAATTTGCTAGATAGGGGGATTTTTTCAAATTGTGATAATAATAATGAATCAATTCGTATAAAAATTTGTACTTTTTGAGCACTATTCTTCTTTCTTGTCTCAAAAATAACGTGAACCATGTTTTGGGTGAGTTTGAGAAGGGTCCATTTTCGAAGGAGGGACAAATGTTAATATTAAGAGAAAGTCTGATTATTTCCCAACAATATGTCCTTCAAATATCAACATCGAATTTCGAATCACCCTGTATTTATCAAAATTGATCGTATCTGCCAAATTCATGTATATCAGAATCGTATCAGAAATTGATGTCAGATGTTTCATTCTACTTCCCCATTTTTTTCCTATGTATAACTCACATTACTTATATGAATTTTTATCTGTTTTCGAATAGGGTGAATCGGAACATCTTTCATCAACAGAAATTGTCAAAAAGCGAAGAAGAACTTATTCAAGATGGTCACCAACTGATGAAGGAGTAACATTGGCATGGAACAACCTGTCTGTTTATGCACAATCGAAAAAACATGGAAAACCTTTCCTGAAGCGTATCATAAATGGAGGTAAATATCGACCCAGGTATATAATATAGAAGTGAAATTTGAAAATGAATCGTAGAGTCGTAGATTTTTATCGAAGACGAAGAGGTTTTCGATTGAAAATCGCCAACCTTGGGTTGACATCAACATCTAATAGACATGAATGATTGCATCAAGCTCTATCTGATGGTCGAACATGAATAATCAGGTCGAGATTGGTATAGTGCGACAAAATGAATAGGTTACCAATTAGTGCTGAGTTGGTTTATATTCACCACAGTGAGGTTGATGAGTGAGAAATTGATGACAATCCTGGACCAGATAGACAATTTATTCAATTCTAATAGGTGCGTTCTTAACAAAGTCAACAGTAGATCGATTCCTATATATGTTTCGAATGGAATAGTTTCATTGTAACCAATTAGTGCAAGTGAATTTTTAGGAACAAATCGATATCGTTCTTGTCTAGAAAAACTCTGAAAATTGACTCTTGGTATATTTTGTTCGCTCATGGAAGCTAACAATTCTTTGATTGATGCGCAACTATAATTCCGATGTAGGATACTTTTGATAAAAATTCAAATCGTAGTCAACATAATTCTGATCTCTGTTTCAGTAAGTGGAGCTATAAAACCCGGAAGCTTAGTAGCCCTGATGGGTTCAAGGTGAGCATTCTGATAATGGATCTATATTGGGATGAAACATGTTAACGAAGGTGCAGTAGGTTCATTAAATGATTTATTTGAGCATCGCTGAGTATTGTCGATTCCAAGTGATATAATACTTACATGATATTTACACAAAGGTTGCCTACTCGATCGTACACAGATAAACTCTTTGAAATGAATTGCGGGAGTATATAGGTTTATTTGAATTTCATTCATCTGAGTTGAAAAGAACATTGTTACTGGCAATCAAATGAAACGTTTTTTTGTGTCGAATAACAGGATCATCAGTGAGAAGAAGAAAGATTTGTCTGTCTAATGCGAGAAAATATTACCTTGATATGAATAATGAGGGGTTTATTTGACCTAAGGCTTCAAAATCACTATTTTCTAGCTTGACCGGGTTATTGGAGTGACTGAGTATACAGAACATGATGATGCACATGCATATACAAATCAGTATGGCCAAGAAAAGCAAGCACGATATGACAATCTTAGGAACGAAAAGAGTTCCGAATTCAGTTCAAACAGATGAAGAATTCACATTGAAAGGGCCAAACCAACGGCCTCCGAAATTTTTCAAGATTGGAAGTTTCTCAGATATATCATGAGAAGTGGGTTTTCGGAAAATCTATGTTATTTCTCAAGTTATTATGAGATATACAGAAGAACCAGACGAATTTCTCGATCGTGAATTTTTATGAGATTTGACGTTGTGATATTGATTTCTCTACGCGATTCTTCGTGTTCGTAGAGCCACCATCACTCTTTTTTTCCAAATCTGGTCCTGATTATGTGTTCAGATTCTGAAAGCATGATTTATTTTGAATTCAACCATGTATCACACAAGGTAGTTTGAATGTGTTTCGACCTAGTTTTAGCCATCATCAATGTTTTTCGTAATTTTGATGGGGAAATACTGAAATGTGAGAAATAATATTTTGCCAAATTATATCTATGCAGCGCTTTAAATATTAATCTCTGGTAAAAGTAGAGTGAATTTTTCGAAAGGAAGAAGGAATGCTCGAAGAGATCTCCACAAATTTCATCATTGTTGTTTCACAATGAAGAGGTACATGTTTCGGTCCTATGAAAGACCATCTTCAGCCTAGTTTAAATTGAATTGTTGAACTTTCGTTCACTCATAAGGCTGGAGATGGTCTTTTATAAGACCAAAACATGTCCCTCCTGATTATGTAACAACATCATTGAGTTTCGTTGAGATGACTTCGAGCATCCTTTCTTCCTTTGCTTCAAATATTGTTTCAAGTTGATGGATTATCACAAAAATTACCTAAATAATTGGATTTCATCAAAATGTTCAGTATTCGAAAGAAGTATCATGCATAGCAAATGTTCAGAATTGAAACAATTATTTTACAATCAGAGATATATCATCTTACATAGTTGCTTCTGAGCATTTCTGGTGTGATATTACTATCGAATGCTCTGATTACGATGTCAATGAGTTCTCCTTCTATATCAAGATTATTTGCGTCAATAGAGTTTCCAACATATCCTCAAGAAAGAACAACGGTGTCCAATCAGGCGAACGCGCTGGCCAAGGGACTGTAGAAAGAGTTTAGTGATCAAGAATCCATAAACAATAAAACAATTTGAAGCGCTGCATTGAATTCAGGAAATATTTTTTATCACTCTTCAGTATTGATCACCTACCCCATCAATATGTTTTACAACGATTGATCAAGAATTTTGATGGTATTTACCCTTTGGAATATCGATAATACCTGAAATTTGTCGAAACACATTCAAACCACTTGTAACATTTGTTTGAATTCTAAATCAATGGAGCTATCACAATCTGTGAACACATAATCAGAATCGTATTTGACATAGAAAGTCGATGAGAATTCTACAAATACGAAGTGTCACGTAGAGGAATCAATTTTAAATCCCATCAAAAATTGCTATGGAAAATTGTTTTCAGTCTACCGGTATTTCTTATAATAACGTATGATAAGATAAAATAGATTTTTTAAAAATTCAGTTTCCTCGATATGCTGAGAAACTATAACAATTTTAAGAATTTTCGAACGTTGTTAGTATGTCCCTTAGAGAACGCTCCTTTATTCTCACCGAATTCGTATCTCCTTCCGTTTCCAAGATACTCAATTACTCATGCTTTGCATTTGAGTGTGCACATGCACTGCATTTTGAATATTTTCTGTTCAAAATATCGAAAAAATCTTTTCTCGTCTTTTCACACTGTAGCCATTTCAACGTCACCACTGTTTTCAGTGATGACGTTTCGTGCGGAAGGCACAATCACGCGGATTTCAATCATTCAAATTAGTTGAGAGTGGCGCACTTATTTGTTCTCGTTTTTTGTTCATTTTCGAGATGAATCTTATCGGTAATTGAAAGAATTAGGAAAAATCTGATATCATGGGAATATTCGTTAGATGGTATCATATCGATGTGATGATTATATGTACTTATTTCGAAAACACCTTGTATGATATGATAATCTTGCCTCCATGAATACCCCCGCACTGATCGCGAATGAACAACTCACCCATCCCTCTGTGTACGATATAACCTATATAAAGGGCTCAGCCCTAGGAGATGGTTCTCTGTGATGAACACTTTCAATATCCACTCATATTTCCTACACACTACGGTTCATCAAAGCCTATATTTCACGCCCTCGATACATAAATAACTATTTAGTTGCTCACATGGAAATACTCTAGAAAATGATTCATGGATCAAAAAGAATGGATGCACCTTTCCCCAGAAATAATTTTTTGACATGTAACATTTCTTTCCGTAATTCACATATTATTAACCAAGTTTCTCATTTCTAGTGGTGCTGGAAAAAGTTCGCTTATGTCATCATTAGCATATAGAACTACAGGTGAGCTATCGAACAATTTACAGTGTCTGCCATAAACAACGTTACATAGATATCATAGAATGATTTCTGAATAATAGTTAGGTATCTATTCCGTGAAGTTGTCCATAAAATATTTCTGTTTGTAAAGTTTATCCAAAAACAATTGCAGAATCTCGTGCCGCACCTGCAGTCACTTCAATGGAAACCTCAAACACGCCGACGCCGCACAGTGCGGGATGTTCTGCAATTGATATTGGATATACTATACTCATGTATTGAGTTTCAAGCAAGAATTCGGAAAGATTCGACACATATATTTCTGTCAAGTATCATTGAGATAAAGATACCATAAAATGAAAACAAGAAATCTAACTCATTCACGGAGTCGCAAATTTTTGTAGAGTGGTAGGGAGAGGTTCCATGATGAATATACCTGAAGTTCTTAGAGAAGCGTTTGAAGATCGTTTCATCACGTTATTCTCAAACAACTCGAAAATCTCAGCCTCTAGCGATATTATGTCAACCCAATCCATTATGACAGTGATCACGTGATATCGGTCGAATTCAATTTTCAAATCATTGGACATGCAAAATCAGTCACCTTTATTTATATTCTCACAAAACTTTTTCTAACTTTTCTGTTCATTGCTATGTCATGAATATACAATGATATTCCATTTTTAATTTTCCTTTTTTCAAGCTGGTCTTCGAGTTGATGGTGATATATTGATCAATGGAAGAGAGATTGGAGATTACATGAGACATTTAAGCGGTTTCATGCATCAAGAAGACATATTTCTACCGTATTTGACAGTCTGGGAACATATGAATATAATGGTAAAAACAAGAATATATTATAGTTGGTTGTAGACAAACATTCCACATATTGATTCTGTGAAAAATTGATTATGGTACACAGGTTGGTCCATCAGGAAAGCTTTATCTACTGCAAGGACACATCAATTTAGATTCTTCTGTAATTATCATATATTATCCCAGAGTTGAAGCCTTGGAGCTGAACGGGTATCAACTTCGATTTCCAGATGGGATTTTATTCTATGATCGGTTAGTAATTATCCAAAAATACCAAGGTTGATGGGGATATCTCAAACGGCTCAGAGATAAAGCTGCTTGATTCTTCAACATGCTCCATGAGTATAGATCTTTCGGTTCATTTGTCGAGCTGAGATGATGGATAGTTGATATTAAGCAAAGATAATGACGTTTGAGCAGAATAGGAAGCTAACTGATTAGAATAAAATCCTGAATATGCCTTCGAATGCTTCTAGGTAATGAAGATGTAAAGTCGAGCAGAGGTGCAACCAGCTTCAATTCTCAGGATGTGGCACATATGCTTTCGATGCGATTTTATACAAAAAGTAGATGAGGAAAATATGAAATTATTGATTTGTTCTGAAATTATTTATTTTCGAATGGAAACGAAATGAAAAAAATGCTATCAATTCATGAGGACTAAAAACATAATGAACATGATATGAATATTGAATAATTTATAGAGAGAATCGATTTGGATTGTTCTAGAAAAAAATCAACTAGTTCCTAGGGATAGTCCTCGGTTGCGTCTTTGAAATCGAGTGGAATGTAGATTGAATGTAGAGTATGAAATCGTATATGAAAGCTGAGTTGGAGAAACCTTTCGAGTTCAAAACTTCAAGTTATTCATCTCGATATGATATCAAAATAAGATTATATTTGTGTCAGATCAGTAGTTCGTGTCAAACATTTCGATCTCAGCGGATAATTTATATGTCGGTGCCCTTAGGTTTTATTGGAATGAAACTGCTATTATCATTATTTTGAGTTAACTTTGTAACTGTTTGGGTATTGATCGTGTTGGAGAACACTTGTGTGATATACAATGGAGAAAGGAATTTAGTAGATGCTTCGAGCAGTTTTTAACTTTTCTATCAAGGTCGCTTGAACGCTTGTATAATGGGCTTATATCACAAAAAAAATTTATTCCATAATTCGATAGAACTCACCCAAACTAGCTCACCACCGCAAACCGTTTATCGCTGTGAGCTCCCTACGTTTTATAAAAAAATATTGAAATCCCCGATTTTTCGGACCTCTGAAAACGAGGCGATGATGTGACGTCAAAACCCTAATACTGAAACAGGACTATTCCAGACAGAGATGAATGATACATGATTTCTGGCAGAGTGAATTAGCGCGAGATCACAGTTGGAAGAATTAATATATCAGTTGCCTCAGTCTCCGTCCGGCGTTTGGTATTTTCTTTTAACTATGGCAAGATGAGGTTTCTACGTCATAAGAGGGTCCGTTTTCAGATGGAACTATTATTTATGTCCAAAAATTGAACATTCCAGTAAATTTTTCGATCGAATTATGTTGTCAATCATTATTTATGTATGAAAGGATCATTATAAACATGGTTTGAGTTAAAAGTTCTACCAAGGTGTACACGCCCATTAGTTGTCAAGCGATTCACGTGCTCATTCAGATTCTCATTGAAACAACTATCAGGTCTGCTTGCCAGCTAGATTCAATTTGAAATCGTCTCGATCCATAAAAATCTGATATCAAGAGTGGGAAAGCTTCTGTCCAGTGAAGGCATCGTTTTGGAAAAGTGAGAAAATAATCTCACGAAGAACTTTTGGATTACGGGTCGGAAACTTACGTGGTTCAACAACGTAGCGTCGTGCTTTCACTTGAAAGGAAGAAAAAGTGATCTCATGTTCGTGGAGAAGGGTCGTTTTTCGTGTTCAAATGGGTCACTACTGAGTGGGAGAGCCTACTAGTGAGACAATAAGTTCAAGCAAGAAGATTTGAAGATATGTGACTCGTTTCCATGTGAAAAAATCTAAGTATATATGAAGCACTGTCCTGGTGTGGACGTGGCTTGATGTAACAATCATGAGGGGAAGCAAGTTCATTCGGTGGAAATACTTCTTGCAATAAACAATTGTGACTGAGAAATACTAAGGTCATTTTTTTTTCGGATCACAGTGTTCGTTGGAGGCATCAAGGGCATCGCACCTTGTCAAGATGGTCCCGCTCTTTTTAGCCCCGCGCATGTTCCGACTTCTGGGGAGTTTGTTTCTACTCCGAAGTAGCGATTCACATGAAATTCCAGGGATTATAGTTTTTCTTCTCCCCATTCATCGGCAAAAAATTAAATGTGGCATTTTCAGTCTGTGAATTATTTGAAGAAAACGAAATTTTTTTATTTTCGAAATTATTCCTTCAAGCGTAAACCAAAAGACCTTAACGTTCCTGACTTGGACAATCCTAGAGTAGTTTTTCACAATGAATTCGAATCTGTCATCATATCTTCTATGACGTTCTTGATGCCAAAGTCATAACACCCAACTTTGTTTTTTCTCATGGGTGCCATATCAGATTTTTGCATTTTTGACAAGTATTTTTTTCTGATTACAATGATGTTTCACACGATATGATCGAATCTCTCCTGTTGATCAAAATTGGAAAATAAAAAAAATAATTTCGCGAAGAGGGCTTCGGAAGGAACACCATTATTTGTTTAACGAACTGAATTTTCACAGTTCAATTCAATATGCGAACAGAATAGTTGAATTCTTGAGCTCATTCACCTAACGCATGAAGGGTTGCCGAGTGTCTCCAACAACGAAGACATACGTTGGCCAGCGCGGTCACCTGATCTCTCTCCGGTGGATTATTATTCATTGGGAACTATAAGAGATTTGATTTTTGAAACTTTACCGATCGATATTGATGAGCTGAAAAGAACCATAATAACCACTCTCAGGACTAAGATGAGAAGACGGGACATCTCGCGAGCAATTCAGAATCTGAGGAAACCAGTAGAATTGTGTTTATAAAATTGTTTTGTTTTGTTCTGCAAAGAATAAATTTCTAGCTCATGACGTCGTTTCTGATTCGAAACCATGGTTTTCAAGTAGGTGAACTTGACGAAAATGTGGACGTTCCAGATCCAAATTGAAATGACCTGTTGAAATGCAGCTTGTTGCACACAACTGTATTAGGCGTTCTTTTCAAAGCACTCTTCGCGAGAATGTTTTTATCCCAATTTTGATCGATAGGAAAAATTCGATGATATCCTGTGATACATGATTTTAACCAGAAAATGAAAGACCTTTTCAAAATTGCAAAATTCCAATATGGCGCCTATGAAAAAAACAAAGTCGTATGTCGTTACTTTGGCTTCAAAAACGTCATGGAGAAATCAATGAGAGATCCAGATTTCTAGTGAAGAAGTGCCCTGAGAATATCTCACTCACAAACGTCTAGGTCTCTCGTTTTCCGCTTGGAAATATAATAACGAAATTCAGGAATTTTCGTTTTCTTCCAATAATTCAAAAACTGAAAATGACACATTAGATTTTCTTGCACATAAATGTTCAGCATGAAATTACGCAACTTTGATCTAATTTAACCGACCTCGTATCTCCTATAATAACTGAGATTCCCATCGTGGTGCTCGAAAAACACCTGTATATTCGTGCGAATGGAATGAATCGCTTCAATACAGAAGCTAACGTCAAAATAAACGATCCTGATGGGTTATCGAGAACAAGAATCTGATATTCAATGAATATTATCTCCCTGTATAAAACTTATAGAGACTCGGTCATGTATCATCATAATATATTTCTGATTAGGCGAATTTGAAACTCGATAGAAGATTGTCTCCTTGGGAGAAGACGAATAAAATATATGACATCCTGAGGCACCTAGGCCTACTCAAGTGTCTGCACAGCAGAATTGGAGGTATCGATCAAAATAAAGCTTTATCAGGAGGAGAAAAGAAGCGATTGGCATTTGCGACTGAAGTGAGTATATCCAATATATTCTCAATATGAGGTAATGAATACAAATTAGTTGGAATCTATAGAAAATAATTCGTTGTTGATGTTCAATAATGCATTCAACGGATGTTCATAGATCCTAAGTTCATCAAATGATTATTTTATATTCAAAAAAGCTATACTTCTCTCGAATTCAACCAGCAAATATAAAGATCAATATCGCCTATTGTTACTCAACACAAAAGACACGAATAAGAAAGTACATGTTGTAGGTTGAATATTCTAGAATCGATTGAAAACGATTATAAAAATGATTTTAGTAATAGTTTTGAGAACAATCATGAAATAGTAGTATTTGCCAGTGTTGCCAGGTCAAGAATGAAAAAATCGGTATACAGTAAGAAGCAGTATAAATTCAAAATACAAAACGGTAGATGTAGTTTTGATATTCGAGTTTCCACCAAAAACTTTAGTGGTTTACTACTTACGTATCGAGATTAGTGAATAACACCAGTTGATAATAATAATCATCTCATTCTTGTAGTACCTAGCTCACTCAAAATCAGGAAGCCTGAAGAAAGATAACTCGGACAAACTATCAACAGTAACATCGCCAATCTTTCTCAATACTCCTATGAATTTCCATTCGATAAACAATATGTATAATAGCTCATTCCTCAACCTAGGTGTATAATATTCTCCACACCAATTCGTCATTAGATTAGATTAGATTAGATTTAGAATGGGGCCTTCGGGCTATCTGCCTCCACACCGCGACCTTTTCAGATCTATTGTGTCTGCCCTCAAAATCGATTAGAGTTCTTCGGCTAGCCCCGTCTTTTCTATGAGACTCCATAGGCTAGCTTCCAGATCCCCTGTGTATCTCTGGGCTTCTGGTTTTTCCTCACCCAGCGTAAGGAACCTTAGTCTTGACAAGCCCTCACAGTGGCAAAGTATGTGTACTGCTGTTTCCTCCTCTTCCTGACAGAACCTGCACAGCAGTTCTTCAGTCAGACCTATCGTACTCATGTGTTTGTTGAGCCTACAATGCCCTGTGAGAAGTCCCACTAGTATTCTAGTTGAACTTCGTTTCTGGCTTAGTAGATATTCTGTGAATGTTGGCGATATAATAATAAACTCTTTTGCCTGTCTCATTCCTGGCGATTTGTTCCACCATTCTTGAGATTTGGTTTGCATCCATGATTTGATACTAGTCTTTTGTATAGCTTTCGCAATACCACAGAAAGGTTCTGGGCCATTCAGAGCTTTGTTTGCTCCTGCTCGGGCAAGTGAGTCTGCCTCTTCATTGCCCTCGTACCCTGTATGTGCTGGTACCCATGCTAGAGTCAGTCTGTTCTGACTGCCCAGTGCATTTAGGGTTTCTAAGCAGTCCCATACTAGTTTTGAGTTAACTTGCATAGAGTTGACTGCTTTGATTGCCGCCTGGCTATCTGAATAGATTGCAATGGTTTTGCCTTTAAACTCTTGCCTTATCAATTCTTTCACGCAATGATGTATTGCAATAATTTCTGCCTGAAACACCGTCGCGTATTTACCTAAGCTCAGTGAGATTATTGTCTTTGGCTTGGCCCCATAAATACCAGCTCCTGATCCAAACTCAGTTTTGGAGCCGTCCGTATAGACAGCAATGTCTGCATTGATAGAAGGTCCTTCCTTCCATGCCTCTCTGTCCGTTATACTTATTTTGAAAGTTTTTTCAAAGCTATATTTTGGAATTATGCCATCCGTTGGCATTCCCATGATGGGGTCGCTTTCCAACTCTTCATATAGCTTTCTATAGTCTTTACCGTGCGCGTTGCTTATGGGTGCTTGACCCCTTGACAATCTACTCACGACTGCTCTGGCTTCGCCTTGAATATATATTTGTAGTGGTGGTAGGTTCAAGAGGACCTCTAAAGCGGCTGTTGGAGTGGTTTTCATTGCACCAGTGGCACTCAGGCAAGCTTGCCTTTGAATAGCACTGAGCCTTCGAATCACTCCAGCCTGTTGTGTCTTTGGCCACCATTCGTCATAGAAATGCCCAATATACTTTGAGATCTGGTTAAAATCTTGATAAACGATATTCTGGTGCTTTCGGCTGTGATTCACCAACAACTCATTTCACACTCTCATGAAAAAGGGCTGGACTTGGGAAATTCATATTCTTTCTCGATGTTGGAATGTTGTCCCTCAGAATTGTATTTATCAAAAATTTGTCGATGAAGGTCACCTTTTTTATTTTTGCGGATAACATCGAAATTTCTCTGGAATATCGTTCATCATACTGACGCTCCGAATAAGAAAAAGATATGTATTTTTTTCCTTCAGGAAATTGACAAAACATATTCTACCATATATTATTCAACTCACTTCGCATGACTTCTCCCATCTGCCTTCAAGCTATGACTGATAACTTGATGAGTCATAATTCAACATGATTCTACGATTTTATGTAGCTCATCACTGATCCAGAAATCCTCTTCTGCGACGAACCCACCACAGGTCTAGACTCTTATTCTGCACAAAAACTGGTCACGATCATGAACAGTATGGCTGCACAAGGCAAAACGATTGTCAGTACTATACATCAGCCATCTTCAGACATATTTGCGATGTTCAGTCAGTTGATCCTGGTAGCAGATGGCAGGATCGCTTACATGGGATCCACTGGACATGCATTAGATTTTTTTGAAAGGTAAGTCATGATGTATGATGATGTGCATCTCTGAACTAATGAGATAGATGAATCCAAAATGATTTTCCAGATAGCAGCCCATCGTTCACAGTACAACTGAATTAGTTACTGCTCCAGTATGGAAGAGAAATCATCAGAGGAATTATATATCGGGTGTCAAAGAATCTATCAGACAAGCCATAACTTCTAGAATATTGAGTTTACCAAAAGAAAAACCAATATGGTCATATTATAGTATCGAGGAAGAGAGTTCTCGTATGTTTTCACTGCCCATCCAATTTTGGTTTTACCGAAAATTGCTCCAACTTCGAAATTTTCAAATTTTTCGTCTGGATCAGAATAAGACATTCTCAGGAGTCTCCACGGCTACTCCATTTCTTTATAGTCACTTTTAATATTGCATCTAATAGGTGGTCATGATCGGACGTGAACTTATCTTCCAAGAACCAAGGCTTTTTGACGAATCTGTCTACACTGATTTGTTTCCAATTGGATTGAGAACTTCACTGGATATTTCAAAGGAAGGAAGGTGAGCTCGAAGCCATCTCCACAAATTTTGATGATGTTGTAACCTAATCATGAGGGACATGTTTCGGTTTTATGAAAGACTATCTTCAGCCCAATTGAAAGTTCTTCAATACAGAGACAAAGTAGAAGTTACAGTGAAAAAAATAACCTTGTTTGTGCTTGCCTTATTTGGATTTTAAAAATTGTTTGATGGTACTGTTTCTTGAATAATTGTTGTCAATGCCCAGGGTCAAGAATTCAAATATTCAATGAGAAGACAGGATCTCAATGAATGGAAAACTCCATATACCAGAATGGTATCTGAAGGGTATTGCCAAAAAGTTTGTTTTTGACATCATCATAAATCAACAGGTTCTTCAAAAAAGAGGTTCCCCGTGCTCTTATAAGAGCGGTACTTGAATAAAATATCAATAAAATTGATGGGCCAAACGCCCAACACTTGATCTAATCTCAACTTATTTGGTAAGAAAACACTGAGAATGATGTCAATTAAAGACATGGGCAAAACGTTGACATGAGTCGAAGTCATTCCACATTTGTTGAGGTGAAACATAAGCCTTATGAGCCGATAGAAAAATTCCATTCAGTTTCGTTGAATTCCATTTAATTTTTTCTTCTCAGAATAACTGCGAAATAATATTCATCATGGCTATTCATGACACATTTGACAAAGATGAATACATGAATATCTAGTATTTTACTCAGTTATATTGAATTCATGTTCTCACTTTCAATCCAATCGCGAACAAATATCAGAACCTATCGTTGGATTCGTAATCGATATCTGTTTTCGAGAAGTTCTCGTCAAAAAATTTTTGCCTTTTGAAAAAAAAATTCGAACGAGAATATAATTTTTCAATTTTTTCTCCTATCTATCAAATTAGTCCTAAGAACTATGTGTTATAATTTTCTGGCATGACCTAGCTGCAATTCTGAAAGTCACTCTGATATAAAGAAGTAGGGATGAGAACTCCTGAATATATTGTAGTCTGATCCAGAACTGTCTCAAAAATTCGGAAATCTTATAATTCATAACCAGTCATTTCCGGTGAAACCAGAAGTGACCAGGCAGTGGAAGATGTGCGCACACGTTCGTCTCCACATACCATTTACACTTATGAATTTCATTCGATACACAATATTTTGTATTATGGCTTGTCTTATATTCGTTGTCACCCGGTATGACGTTTAAAACAAACACGAATTCATTTTATCTCTTCATCAAGAAATTTGTTCTTTTGATACTTTGGAATACTCTGTCAGTTTTTTATTGCAACCACAAATTCTGAGCAACCAGAGAATTTTTATAGTAATCAAAAATCAACTTATCAACGTTCCAATTCGACCTTCCTAAAAGTTGTGTATTAATGATGGATGATGACAGTGATTCAAGAAGTAGAATATTCCAATTCTTCAAGTTGTCAACAGTAAATCGTCTCAGATTCTTGCTATGCCTTCCTGATTGCATGCCATCAAGTGATCGATTTATCAATACCTTTTCTAGGATGGGGTACAAATGTCCAAGCTCTTTTGGTCCAGCAGATTTCTTCATCAAAACCATATCTGTTACTCCTGGATACGAGGATAACAGTAGGCAAACTATAAAGAGAATTTGTGATAACTACATCGTCAGCGACTATGCCAAAGAAGTTGAAATTGTGATGCAGTACGAGTTCCACATCGGTAAAACAGTCGTGGTAAGGCAACATGGAATTTTGAACAATATCCAATATGTATCTCGAATAAGCTTCAACTTGCTCAGAACAAAATGGATATCCAAATACCATCAGCAATTATAAAAAATAATCATTTTTGGACCAGTGTTAATTGATGTACAGTTAAATGACTAGACCAATAAGTGTCACACAAGTGTTTATACAACCCAAATTTCGGATTCAATTTGTCAATCCTGATGAAAGATGAAGTGATTTTTGATATCCATAAATAGTAATAACGAATATAACCGCCGATAGAACAGTCACGAAAGCTTCGCCTTGGTAATTATGAACTGTGGATTTCAGTTTGTCATAATACTGATTCAACATTCTTTTCTCATCGTTGTCAATATGTATTCTTCTCGATTTTACCAGTTTGGAGAATGAAATCCAGGGCAACTACGACCCTTCACACATTGTCACTTAATTATTTCATACTTATTTTAGATTTCATATTATTGTCCAAAAATATTATGCTCTATTGAAATTATCACCGAATCATATGTCTGATACTTGTTTTCAGGATAGACGATATGAGCTGAGGAAAGATTTGTGAGTATTATTCGTATTCAAATTGTTTGATCACGTTTGGAACGCATTTTTCCGCAGCAAAGCAGTGTACTGGCATGTCAAGCTGTTCTGGCTCATCCACAGGTGGTTTCTAGAAATACTGAGGCAACCTTCCTTCACATTGTGGAAACTTTTTCAAAGACTGGTGAGGAAACCTATTACTTATATTTTGATATTATCAAGGTCACCTCAAATATTCAATAGTTTTCAATTCTAAGGTGTATAGCAAACTCACAGTTTTATTGAAATATTAGATATATCATTTATATTTACCAATATGTTGTACTCGTTAACTTTGCTGATTTTATGATTGCAGAATAGTCGGATTCATTGAAATCATCAACTACTTCCATCTTCTTTGATATATCTCATTCTATATCCAAGCTTCCTATACCATCTCCATTTCCTTCATCTTCTCAATATCATTTTCATTATCATCATCTCAGGCAATCTCCTATGATCCCTTTATTTTGCTTTTTTTTGGTGAACCCTACATCAATTCATCTTACTTCTCCTCCTCATTCAATCCTTGCTTCGACATGTTCAATATTAAGATTGAAATATTTCATGAACTCAATCAGCTAATATGCATTCAATCGCATTGAAGTTATCAAGAAAGAACCATGTTAACTGATTCAGTTTAGTTCCGGTGAAATATCTTGGTAAATCCATATTGGAAGAATGTAAGCATTATCATTGTCTCGTTGCTACAGAAAAGAGATGATTCGAACTGTATCATGATCATGTAACCTAAGTTACATATATATAGGTAATAAGGTAATAGATATAGGCGCGATGAAGTCCATAGTGATTTAGAATCATGAGGATCTGTTGAAGATACTTGGAAGCGGAGACGGGTTGTGATTTCCGAAAATTCCGAAGGAATATGATGTCATGTGCATGAATAAATAGCGCTGTATTGCGAGGAGTACCAGGAAAAGGAGAAAGATATTCACGTAACCAATTAGGAATCACGCCATTTTGAGTGACACAGAGTTCCACAATATGAGATTCATAACCAGTAACTTATATTTTTGCAAATTTGAATGATTATTGTTTTAACCCGTCAAAATGTCTCGTCTCAGTTGATTCAACCAATAGCAATGCGCAATTCTAGTCATTCATTTGGTTTTATACTGACTATTCCACTCTTGATCTCGAGAACCAATCAGAATCGACCATTTTCACGGTTTCTTCTGTATTCTAGCGATATTTTTTGGTTATTAAATTTTATCGGACTTGCTCTACCAATACAGAAGCCGAATTGACCCACACGTGACCAACAAACCTTGTTTATCAGCGATAAAATTTTGACATCGTGTCTGGTCAAGATTGCTTTGTATTCGAATCTGACACAAGAGATAATAACCTATAAGTACCTACTTCATTTTATTTACTTATAATTCGCGTTAGTGAGACATTTTGCACGAAAGGCGAAACAATTTCATTCTGGCTGGACGTTTCATGTGTAATTCAATAAGTTTGCATATTTGTTGACGGTCTGACAACAATACTAGAATTCAAATTTCCATTTGAAGTATTCTTCTTCAGTCACTCAAGTTATTGTGACTATTAAAATCCAGGTGATGTGGCTCAACTGATAGGGTTGTTGCGCGGTGATACGAAGGTCGGTGGTTCAAGTCCGTCGGCGACAATAATTTTTTTTTAAATTATTCCATTTCACATAAAATCAATTTATTTTGTTCGAATTGTATAGCAAATGTATACACTCTTTTGAGAGCAACCATCTCCAAGATAATAAACAAAATACTGTTCATCAAAATTGTACATTCCTCTTTGTGAATTACTATAAGTAGGTAGTTAATTTCTAAAAAATTGAATTCTGTATTTCATTACTATCATTATGTTCTTCTTCGCAGTTTGAGTTGGAATATACTTGAATTATGTTTCCTATTTCTTATATATATTGTCTCATTCAATCACGAAATAGTCATACGAATACAACTCGTGATACTATTTTCCTGGAAATATTCGTCGATTGACATACTCCAGCTTGCTGCTCTAATTTCGCTCATGACATTGATCCAAAACTTTTCGCCTACGGCTCGTAGTTTTGATAACAATGTCATTCACGAAATTACTAGGCAACAAGCTGTCGTAACAATCACCGAATATTTCCGGCAAAATATTATCACATGTGGTATTATATATGATAAAATTGCATGATCCTCAATAAAACCTTGTTTATATTGAACTGTCAAAATAATTATTCTGATACTCACTAGTGCCAGTCACCCTGTCTCTATGTACCTTTCTTATGTGTTAGTAACAATGAAATGAATTATCAATTCTCTTGAGGAACATAACGTAACTTTTTCAATCGTCTTTCAATTTAATAACACAAATTATGTTTAATTTCTTCCCTAGACTATATTATACGCTGTATACACACCACCTTCAGTACCATTCGATCAATCCCGATGGATGGACGTCGTATTATTTGACTAGTGAAATTTGCTACTCAGTTACTTCTTACAACTTCTTTTTATTTTCATCACCCAATCTATTTTATTATAGGCAAAATCATTTGAACAATTCAAATTGGATAAAATCACTTGTCCCACGGACTCATCATTTCATCCATCGTTTTTTCTTCATATTTTTGCCAAATGAAAAAGTTTTCGTAAGAAATCAAAAGAGTCATCGATGAAATTTGGTGGACCATTGAGAATTTCCATTTGAACGAAAATAATGAGCAGTTTCACATCAGATCTCTAGTTCATTGTATCAGTATATCACCTGCATTGCTGCATCAAATATATGAATGCTGTCATAAAATCGAAGAAGAACTGAACTGAGCTGAACTGAACTGTGTGGACAGGAGGAAACAAAATAATTGAACTCCAGAAAGTGCACGTTCAATCCTAGACACACAAATGAAAATATACTTGACATTGAGAGTACCTATTGATTATTGAAATTCAATCCTAAATGTCTTGGTCAATCCCAATTCTTTCTCTCTTCATACCATTACTTTTTCGAAACCCCACTCGAATACAACTGAGAATCAGAACTCACACCCATATTTGAAAAAGGAAATGCACGGCGCACGAGTTCTCAGACCGCCTGCTGGACCGAATAAATTCTGATAACTGTCACAAGGTGCTCGCGGAATTTGCCAATTTGCCAAAGAAATTTTTGTTCATTTGTACTCGAGAAATATTCGTCAACGATCGTTATTCATTCAATCCATAAGAGTCTTTCATAACAAGTCACGGTTATATGATTGAAATTCACTCGTCTGCGTTAATTATCAAAGGTTTAGACATCATTGTCAATACAAAAAGATCGATGCAGTTAGTTGATAAACTTTCAATAAAACGTCTCTAGTTAGGGCGACTGTCGTTGTCGCTATTTCCATTTCATCAACTCAGACATCCATTGAGTGCTTTTTTCTGAGTGTGGCGTTGTTGGTCAACTGTGACTGCTGGAGAATACTTTCAGAACAAATCCAAAGAGAATAAGTAAACATGGGTTCAGTTCTCACCTATTGAAGCAATTGACAAACGTAAATGATGTTGGTAGTTTGATTAAATTGATGAGCTAGATAGGTAGATTGTTGAAAAATAGTTTCTCAGAATAGAAAAATACACGTTGTCGAGAGAGCATCTTTCAAAAATGAGGATTTCTCTTTTCTAGCCATGTTTTCGATGAATGTTCGGACTAAAAGCACATAATGATATTACCAAGATACTCATATACATTGCCAACGTCGCAGTGATGAAAATCACTATTGGTAAATACCAAGAATCAAGAGGGATGATATCCTACTGTGGGCCTCTGGTACAGAAGACACTGATGAGATATCCATGTTTGGAACAACTGAAAACTTATTCAAGCATTTATCTATTGCCTCATACATGGAAGGAAGTAGGAAGAATTCATGATTTTGTTCCTCAGTTCAGTTGAATTGAAACCGCATTCTCCATTCCATTTAGTATATTTATTCTTATGATTGTTCATCATAAATATCAATTATTTATGATGAACAATCATAAGCTGATTACTTACTGCGCTATTCTTTATTCGCTCTATTTTGTTACAGTGCTGTATTGTTACGCGCTGTTTCGTTACAGCTCTGTTATGGTACGTTCTTTTTTGTATGCGCTGTTCTGTTACACAGTTTTGTAGGTAACGCAATGTTTTATGGCCGAGCCAATTTCTGCATATTTCAAGGTATAAACCTTCACGTGGTAGTTATACATCCTATTCATTGATCAATATCAACCTATGTGTATCACAATGATGAATATAATTATTATTAATATAATTTCTCTCCAGATTATTGCATTGATCGTCGGACTCTGCTACTTCGGGACCAATGCTCGTTCACAAAGTGGAATACAGTCAGTCCAAGGAATTATTTTTATGTTCGTCACTGAGAACACTTTCAATCCGATGTATTCGGTACTGGCGCAGTTTCCCGAAACAAAGCCTCTTTTCCTGAGAGAATACAAATCGGGGCTCTACAGTCCTTCGTTGTACTATGTGTCAAGAATACTTGCTCTGGTAAGGACCTTGTTGAAATGACACGCGAATAATGAAAAAAGGTATTGTCACAAGATTTTCATATAATTCTGTATAGATACCTACCTAGTTAATACATTCAGCCATATATTCTAAACTTCATCAGACAGTGTCTATATATCCTCATAATTATTTATTCCACTTGTCCTTTTGTTCCATGAGAGCAATCTGGAGTCCCGTCATTTCAATAATATTATAAACGTTAGTCTGACCTCATAATCTGGGGGAGGTTCAACAATTTCGCGAAAAATAAAATCTTGATTGAAAGATGTTCTTGGTATTCCAACAGAAAATGTGGATCAGTGAACATGCATTGCTTGAGTATCTAGATTAACATTGAACTTTCGTTATAACGGTTCCATAACAGGACGTCTCCTTGTATTAATATCTGTTTGAACAGGAAGCTCTTTCCTCATAAAAATTCTATAAAGAGATCTGAGGGCGCTATGAAATTGATACCTCTTCCCATGAGGAATACGAACCAGACGAAATGCATAGATTTCCGGACCATGTCTTCTTCACTCTCTCATTAGATCGGTTCTATCATGGTCAAATATCCAACTCACTGGAAATCGTCGATAGTAACAGCTCTGGGTACTATTATTTCAGGCTGGTTGAATTCTGGTTGATGTTTATTGCGAATATTTACGGTATGGTACGCATATGGTATCATAACTCATGAGTCACTTGTCATTTCACTTATTAGAAGTGAAATAGAGAGAATAATTGGTTTTTTCGTTATTTTTAACAAGACGTTTTAGGGCAATCTGATAAGGACCACACGATAACACATCCTAGTAGAATAAAATTCATGATAATCATAACGAATAGAACAATACCCAATTTCTTTCCATAGCGGAATTTATTCAAATGATCCACCTTTATAATCTTAAGAAAAAAGGAGTACTCAAAGGAAAATGTCACCTGCCAGGAATGTCATCTTCAAGCAGAATAACCCATATAAGACGGCTGTCGTTCTGGTGACAGATTTCAGCAACCATATTTCAGCATTTGTGTCCCGTAAACTCACTGGTTGAATAAATATGACATTTGCGGATCGTAGGTAATTCCACTTACCTGGTTAACTAAGGTGATATGCAATACATATCCACTCTGTGGTTCGTAGTTGAACGTTCTCGGTCATCTATATTTCCAGAAATAGGTATAGGGCTGTCAAGAATACCTGACACATTGGTGAGGGTTGGTCATGTGAGATGATAATTGAGCGAATAACGCCTCTTAACGGCGACCTGAAGCAGGGCCTACTCTATCTCACCGGGCCGTAGTCTATCCCCTCTCTCTCGACGCTGACGTCACACTAGTAGGTTGAGATTTCACATCAATCCGTACTGGTGCGTTCGTAATTGATATGCTATGGCTCATTTACTATAAATTTTGGAAGCACACTCAATCGAGACGAAATGATCCCCAACAAATTCTTCAATTTTTGGTGAAAAAATGAATCCAATGGGATTGTCCTTTGCTATACCAAGTTAGCGTTGTAACGAAATTCCATTTTATTGAAAATCAGGATGTTGTACTACAGAATACTATTTTTTGCAAATTTGGAATCGGAATAAGATGAAACTAACTCAATATATCAAACTACGATAATAAATCAATTGAATAGTGAAAAAATTTTAGAGTTACCTACAATGAGTCCGAAACAAATCAAATACAAAGAGCGCGTAAAAAATGGGCCGTTATACCTACCTACCCAAATTTCGCTGTATTACGAATTCGCGGTAATTCCTTGGACTGGTAAAGGGCGATATACTTTTTATTACTCATTTTATTTCTAAATGGCGTATGGTTCAGACGTACGAATATTGGTGTGTGAAAATTTCGAAACAATATTTTTTCAATGTGAGTCACAACATAAAGTTTTGGAGAATTTAGCAGAAATTAAAATCAATTGCCTTCCCAATTATTCCGAGAATCAATGTTGCAGTTGTGGGTCTTCTGATGGAATCAGCAGAACATTCTCTAAAACCATTTCAAATATTCTGTTGAAAAATAACTAAACTTTCAGGATGAGATATAGTTCAGATTTCAATTTTTAGTTTGTGATTAAGATGATGTATGCATATTTTTTGTTATTAGTGTATTTCATTTTGTGATATCTATCAATTCTTTTTATTTTGTTATGTTGATCAGTTTCACAGTTTATTTGGATTGGTTTTGTTTGTGTATCATAAGAATTCATCCTTTTTCTTTTTTCATTTTTTCCTTATTCATTCATATATCGTTGTTCTGTGTATTTTGTTATTCAGTTCATTATATTCATTTTTATATCTCTCATTGTTGAGATACATATTTTTTCAATTATTTTTGTTAGGTTGTGTTCATATGAACTCCACATATTTTGTTCTTTTTAATTTTTATAGTTTGCAAATATCTTCAAATCAAATTTTTTTCATGAATCAAACGTTTTCATGCAAATATATACTCTTCAGTAGAAAATAATTGATACCGAATAGGCGTTTGTGTGTAATAAAACACTCGAGTGATAGGACTTCTAACGTTATCAGAGTGCGTCCTGATCATCTTTAGAGATAAACGCTGCTAAAACCCTTCGAGATAAAGTGGATGTGTATTGTACCAATTTGTAGGCAATCAAATTTCCTACAAAAAAGTCAGTGACAGCATATATCCATAGTTGATAGGATTTGCATGGGAGGCGTCCGAACATTTTGAACTATTCTGTAATGAACACCTGAATCATCGTTCTACTTGAATTGAATTGTTGGCCCTTGGGAATTTGGGAAAAAAACTCAGTCAATTTAGATACTATAAGAAATCTTTTCATGATCGATCATTTCTGTGAAATGAATATTGGAATTTTGGTAGCTGTTTGAAAAAGGACATTTCTGAATAGCGTTAATTAATTTTGATATGCCATACTTCTGAAATTAATAATCGTAAATCAGTGAAATTTGATTCATCTTCTGGAAAATTCTTTTTTCTACAAGCGTGCGTGATTCACCCTATACCCGCACGCAATCTAGTTTAGGAAGTGTCATTTTCCCGCAACATTGCGGTGGTAGGTGATGGAATATGAGAGTTTGAGTTTTGTTGTTGCAGTATTAGTATGTTCAGAATCATCCATCAAATTGTACTATTAATTGTGAAAATTAAGAAATATTGAAAAATAAAAATGGATTATTATAATAATACCCCTATAGATTTGGATTGATCTGAAGGGAAACGATTATTGTTGTCATGCAAATTAAACGTCAAATGAGTTTGTAATTGTCGAAGTGACAGACACAGCGTTACTGTCATCTTCGATTCAGTGGAATTGCCACAATGTGATCAAAAACTTCCAGCTATAGGGATGCGATACAGATGCGTTATTGCCAACGAAGTCTTAACAGAGGTATGAGAAGCTATATATGCGTTTTATTGAATGGTACAACATGAAAGAAATGAAAATACCAAATCAAGAAGAAGTATTTTCGACTCATTTCTTAGAAGTGTCTGAATCCTAGAGACCAAACACCTTATGGGCCTGATGGCTTCCGCAATTAACCTACCTACATAATGCGTCAAACTGTAAGTTCACAATAGCTATTACTAATAATTAGTAGATAGAGAATAAATTTCTCTTGTCAGTTGTTTCTAATTGCTTAAATAATAGATTGAACAAATCAACCAATTCCCTACGCTTGTTGAGAAAATATTGTTCCTAACTCATGCGGAAAGTGTCTTTCCCGCACTCGACTGCTTGCCCGAACTCCGCTTCGCGTCGTTCGTGTCAACGGCAGTCCCGTGCGGGAAAGAATAAATTTCCGCACTTGTTAGGAAAATTACTATTCTGTACATATTTGACCTTCTGATATTTTTCGCTAACTGTGACCGTTTTCTCGAGGTGAATCAATGAAACGGGAGAGACAATTTCCACTGCGTTGATTTTGTCCCTACTAGTGTGCCGTCACGAAAGCGATGCTCCGGCCCGGTGAGATAGAGTAGGCCCTGCCTGAAGTCAAGTTATGAGCAGGAAATCATTCAGGATTTCGATATAATGAATTCAATCATCAGGAAAGGAATGAGAAGTGTCTGCAATATTTGGGGTCATCTCATTCAATCATCCAGGTAGGTATATTAGGTTATCGAATTCCGAACAAGTAGAATTCCGAAGCAACAATGAATTTCGAGTCATCATTCATCTCAAATCCAGTCTAGACATGAATTGTTGAAATCACTTCATCTACACCGTGATTGCCGTTTTGGTTTGACCAGGTCACTTCATCAAAATTGAAACTTTTTCAATAGGTGATATGGTTTCAATAATAATAATTCATATAAATCAAAACAAAATGAAAAAAATATCGCCCCCGGGTGGGCTCGAACCACCAACCTTTCGGTTAACAGCCGAACGCGCTAGCCAATTGCGCCACGGAGGCATGTGTGCTATTTGTTCGACGACAGTTTGAAACTCTATGAGAATAGTTATATGTTCAAATATGATTTCTTGAGTGAATCATGTATGAGAAGTTGATCGCTAAACCTCCTGAATTAGCAAGAGAAGTGTATAGCAAAATACGAATATTTCAAGCATAAAAATGTTGGAGATTAATTGAGTTTGCAACACAAGTAATTATGTTCCCGAGAAACATTTTAAATGCCTAATAGCTTCGATGAGACTCTGAAGTTCTTTTGATTTTTCACCAATTTGCAACTGCTGATATGCTCCCTCAAGATTGATCACCGTAAAATATCCACTACCACCTAGACTAGCAAAAATATCGTCTGGTAGGGGCAACACGCAATGATCACTATCAATGGCTTCATTCAATGCATGTTTCCTTAAAATCAACACAGAATCTGATTTAATTGAAATTTCTCTTTGGGACAACCATCACCATCATGAGACTTGCCCACTGACTATGTTGAACTTTTCACACCACACCTTAATCAATCATCTTTACCAACTCTTATTCTACTTTAGATTTTAGAGAGTATGCCATTTCATAGGCTCTATATAAAAAAAGGTGTAACTCCTTCTTTTGATGAAATTTCTGCTTTGAAATCTCTGAAACAAGAGTTAGGGATTTCCTGAAATACTTTAGGGAATTTTTCTTCCACTTCACTTACCAATCTCTTGATGTGACTTTGTTCCTGACTATCATTCTGACTAATCTGTAACATTTGAATGGGACTTGAATAACTTTCGGTCTTGGATATGACCTGACTTTGACTGCTGAACATTGTTCAATATCTCTGACTCTACTATGACATTCGTATCTGGAACCTTTTTCCATGGAAGGTTCAGAACTGATAACCAATTCCTCCCTAATAAAAGTGTGAACTTATTATAACTATCCAGAACAACCGAAGGTTATTAAAATGACTTATTGTCATATATAACATGGACTCTTATTCTTCCCAAGATTGACACATTTTGACCTGTTACTACTTTAAGCTTGAACATGACTGGTTCTAAAGCTACCTATATAATGAGAATGTTTATTGTAGTCATCACAAAGAATAACCGATTTACAAGCTCCTGAGTCGACTTCCATTGTAGTATTTTTACCATCAATAGACAAATATACTCTCAAACTCTCATTTTCAACTGAATTAGAATGTAACTGATACAGCTCACCCTTTTGAATGAAACCTTACTCCAAGGACTCATCATGATCTCCTTCTTGATAGGATTAATCATGATCTTCAGCAATGGAATGGTCTCTATCACGGCACAGAACAGACTTGGCAGTGTGACCCATTTGATTGCATGAGAAGCATTTTCAGTTCACTGCTGGACACTTGCTGTCATCATAGTGTATTCTCAAGCAACGTTTAAATGGCCTCTTACCAGATAATTGACTATTTGGTTTCGAACTTTGACTTGGTGTATGACTTCGGACTTGATTGTTGAATTTTCTCCCACTGGCAAACTTATGTACTCCGACTTTGTGAATACCCAGCTTCCTGGTCCATAACTTTAATCTGTCCCTCTGCCAGCTCCATACTAGCAACTATTTGGAAGGCTCTGGAAAATGACAAATTATCTTCAGTTAACAGCTTCCTCTTGATGCTTTCTGAGTGCAATTCGCACACTTACTTATCCCGAAGAGCATCTTCCAAGAAATTACCAAACCCAAGATGTTTGATCAGATTTTTGAGCCTTGCTGCATAGGATCTTATCTCTTCACTACCTTCAACAGCTGTGTAGAACTTGTACCGTTCTGCTATGACTAACCTCTTTGGGCTATGATGATTAGTAAGTTCTGTTGTTAGACTTGCATACCCCTTGGTACTGGGTAGACTGGGTGCTGCATACTTGATCTTTCAAGACACTATCAGCTTCGCTTTCAATGAAAGTAAGTAGATACGACACTTTCTTAGCCTTAGTGACTTCATTGACTGCAAATAATTGCTCCAATCTTTCAATATATGCACAAGCTTATCACTTGTTGTTGACCCAGAGTTGCTAGCCATTAGGAGGAGTTAACGATCTTTCTCCATGTCCCGAGCTCTGCAATTAGGTGACATTCACTTGTCTCACAGAAAGACTCGGAACAAGAGAGGTCAGTATTGAAAATAAGAAGAAGTCAGGCTCACCACCTCTTCTGCAAGGTGATCAGCTGCCTCATTCTCTTGGATTCCTTCATGGCCTGAAACCCACATAAGAGACATAAGTGTGACTTCGTTTTCCATGATCAGTTGCATTTGTGTTTCAAAGCAGTCTTTTGTGATCTTTGAAAGAAAAACGAAATGTTTCTAGGTCTTTCAGTGCGGCTTGGCTCATTTGGGTCAATAAACACTAGCCCCTTTCCCTTTTTCCATTTCCGAATAAACAGCAGTGTAACAAACAAGGGACCCTCTGTCCAGCTGAGGCTTAGCGAAACTGAGCCTGGCTGGCATTTAGTTCGATGACTTGATTGCTGATTCCATTTGTACTTATTGTAGAATGGCCATGTGGCTAGTGATAATTTGACTTGTAATCAACTCCACCCATTCCCATTGATGAACTTATTTTCAAATTCTCCATTTCATCTCCCCTATTGCATAATGAGGCTGATACTTCGAGCTTTGCTCATTCTGTACCTGAAAAGATTCTGTCTCAATGAATATTCTTCTGATTGTACTGTTTTTATCTAATACGAATTCATTCTATCTTTCAATTTTCAGATTCCAGGATTCATCGTCGAACCAATGCTATTCGTCGTGCTTGCTTATTGGTTATCTGGATTGAGAGCGTCATTTTATGCATTCATGATGACAACTTTAATAACTGTCCTCACAATGAATGTGTCTTCTGCATGTGGTATGTATCACATTGACAGTTATACAGAGTTTATCACAAAAGATCCAGTAGAATATTTTCAGATCAAGATAATCTATTTACTAGGTACTGTACAATAAACGGAGCAATTTATTCTCATTTGAATACTTGGAATGGTTTTATTTTAATTATTATGTTATATTGACATAACTTGTTAATTAGTTTTTTTTTTTATTGTTTTATATATATATATATATTTATCATATGTTTATGTATCCCTATTATAAACAAATATGTTTCTTGGGGTAATAAAGAACAACAACAACAACAATAATATCCGCTGGTACTATACCAATCCACAAGGTCTGCATTATCCATGCCCAGTATCATCACCTCTCATATCCGGCAATGTTAGATATCACTAAATATAGGTTTCACTCAATTTGGAATTCATATCTCAATCAGTAGCGAATGTAGAGCAGAAATCAATCACAAAAGAGTGAGATAAATTGTGGCGTCATTATACTCATGACATCAACCAAACTGAAAAAATCTTCGTAGAGTGGATAATTCACTTTTCACTGAGAATGTCTCGAGCAGCAGAATAATTACCGATATTTTTTTTGTCACATATGATTTTGTTGATGATTTTCTACCAATAGCAATATAAGTGAGACCAAGAAAGAATTATCGGCAATTGATTATACTGCGTGCGAGATTCAGATGCAAAAGATTCCATAAATTGTAGTTGCGTTTAATATGATGAGAAGATGAACCCTATACGACCTATTCTGCATAGTTGTCAAATGAAATTTGACACTTAGCCAATTGTTTTTCAGAAAATCCAAGTCAATTTCAGAAAGCGTGAATTCCTTTTCACGAAGTGTAATTTGAAATTGAATTGATATCCAAAAATACAACGGTTTCTAAAATTGAATTGTTTATTCTGATATTCAATCTAGGTTTTCTGAAATATGGGTGATTATTTTGAAATACAATAAACGCTTTCTGAAATTCAATTGACCATTCTGAAACACGATTGGAGCTTTCTGAGATACGAGTAACTATTCTGAAATACAATTGATGATTTCTGAGATACAGCTGGAAGAGGTGTAGATATAAAATGTCTGTTGATTGATCGAAGGGAAATAAAACTTTGGCAACTGATGCGCTACCGAAACTATGCATTTAAAAATGCTTATCTCCTATCGACCTTGATTGATTTCAAGTCGAGTTTGTTCATTCAAATTTCAATTTCTTGAATCAGTGTATCAACGTTTTGTCCCAATTTGCATTTGGTTGTTGTCAATTCAAAAATGAAAAATCCCAATTTGAATTTGTTTCCTCTCAGTTTGAATGTGTGCTGAATCATTCGAACTAATCTAAAATTTTTCAAGTATGATAATGTTTTTCCGCAAATGATCAATCTCAATTTGAAGCCAAGAAGGTATAGACTACGTATATTCCACAGAAGGGAATCCCATGGAAAGAGCATTGAGGAGTGATAATCAATGAATTAAAAAATACCCTGCGGAAAAAACAGGTGATTCGACCCGCGAATTATACGGTGGATGAATCAAACTGAAAATAATGATATACTCCCAATATTTCATCATAAAAAATGTGTCCTAACTTGATTTTTTCAGGTATAATGTTCTCTAATGCATTTGCATCAGTTCCCGCTTCCTTGGCCTACCTAGTTCCATTCGACTACGTTCTGATGATCACTTCAGGATTATTCATCAGACTGAGGTGATTATGTTCGATATAACGAGATAGTTCTTGAAACCGAATTCAACATTTTCAGCACCCTACCGAGTATATTGACGTGGACGAAGTATGTGTCTTGGATGATGTACTCAACCGAAGCATTGAGCATTCTTCAATGGCAAGGAGTATCAAATATTAGTGAGTATGCATTGAATGGTTAGGTTTCATGTGAGTGGTACGATTACCCGTTCTCCACTGCGACTTCAGATGGATTTATTGTGGCTCACTTCAAGAGGTCAGTTCACTGTACAATTCACATCTTTCGACCAAGTCCATAGTTGGATTTGATATCTGATATCGATAGGTCCCAAATTGATGAGGCCTTATATGTTGAACCTCATTCCTCCATAGCAAGCAAGCATGAACATAATATGTGTTCAGCCGTTTCGTCTTGAACACAACAGAACCGACAGTCCGTTTGTTGGTTGAGACCCATCCTTCCCAGGTGGTATTTTGAACGACATTGTCCCATAAGCAGTCTTGTCAAAATTGGCAGGTTATTTCTGCTTCATTCTTGAATCTGCCTGGTTATATTTCTCGATACAGACAAGTACATGAGTCTCTTTCCCTCCGCTCAGTTCAAGATGATTGTTTTGGGCACACTTGCGGTGATTTCGAAGTATGATTCTCGTCTGATGAACTCAGATTTGGTTTCCTATTCTGCAAGTATGTCGGCTTCCTCGTTGCCCTTCACCTCCTAATGTTCAAGCACCTACAGCGAAGTAACTCTGTTTTGTGCACCCAGGAATTTGAAAACCATTTTTCTAGAGCTCATTGCTTTGAGAGCAGCCTGACTGTCTGGTACAATTCACAAAAGGTCTATTCGGCAACTTCGTAGCACAACACACCTCCATTGCGAAAACCTATGCCTGAAAATTGTAGCAGACTCGACGGAATTGAGAGAAATGTTCGTCTTTGGTTTTCTGCTCAACACACCGGCTCCAACTCCAAGGGGGGTTATCAAACCATCAGTGTGTGTACGTGTTTGGTCTCTTGGAATTGGACTGATCTATTCACCTACTCGTCTCTTTCCGGAAAGAATACATTCGAAATACTTTTTCACGTGTGTCAGAGTAGCCAACATTTCGGGAACCATTCCTATGTTTTGGTGATTTTTTATCTGACACATTATCTCAGAGGGGTCCAGCAGTCGCCCCCTCTAATTTGAGCTTTCAGTGACAGGAATCAATAGGAAACCATCCTGGCATTCCTCTCCAAGACAGACAATGTGGAGGAAAGTGACATACAGGAGGTTTTCTATCGCTGCCGTTGAAGTAGAGATCATCGCCCTGTAATGGACAGGTATGCCAGCCGCTGAAGACAAGCTTCGCCTTGGCTGTCCCTTGCAGACCTTCAGTCCACCAGAATACCGAGCCAGTAAATCTGTCTGGGTTTCATCCCATATGATTTGCCGCATTCGCTTCTGAGGTTCCAGAGGTAGAATCTGGCTTTGTAAATCGTGTTTGCCATCTGGGCGTGTCATGCAATGAATAGTACTTTGAATATATCAAATATGCAATTATGACTCAAAGAAATAGAACTGACACTATGTCGACGCTCTTCAATTTTGAAAACCCGCTAAAAATATAGTTGATTTAATGGATTGTAACTACTAAATACTTGGAAATATCTTCATTACATTTTCATTGGATCATATTTGGATTTCGTGGAGATGATCTAGAGTATTATCAAGTAGTGAATACCTACCCAAGTAGCCCTGAAAGTCAACTTATCATTGACATTATTCACATTTCACATTTGTCGGAATGATCGAAATGGAAAATTCATTCTATTCTAATAGAGATCAAGAATTCAAATCGGTTCAGGAACTTTGAAAAGCTCACATGTTATCCTAATATATTCAATTAAATCCTTATTTTCGATTTGACTAGAGATTCCGTTATAGCATCAACAGTTGATGGACGTGGTGTATTTTCGACTGCCTATACAATAATCATATAATAATAGACGAATTATTCATAAATAGAGGTAATTGATCAATTTCGTAAACATCAAAATTAATCGTCCATACGAGGTCGACGGATTAGCAGATGTATGGTACAACAGAAAACTATACTGTTCAGTTCATTGAAATCATCTCCGAAAAGTATTCATGACATTGAACATTATAAAATTCGAAATTTCAGCATGCGAGAATGAACTACCAGGAGTGCTCTGTATAACCGAAGGTACAGCTGTCCTAGAGAAATACAGTTTTGCTGAAAGAAGACTCTCCCAAAACATATGGGGTTTGGTGATCCTAATGTTTATTTTCTATATATTGGGTTACTTTCTCTTGTACAGGAAAGTAAAGAAGCTTTGAAGTAGTTCTTGATGATGTGTAACACCTAGATAATTTCGAATCGGTAACAAAGAAGATATATGTGAGAGGACTGGAAAATAAAAAGTAGTTGATTAACAGATCTTTTATTGAGTATATAGTTGAATACATTGGTCAATTCATTGACATTCGAATTTTGTTATATATGATCTGATATGATTTTGCCTCTCAATACGCCTTCAAAATGAGAATCAGAACATTATTGTACACCATCGTAGATTAAGCAATGTGAGTCTTTCTATTTCTCGATTGTGATTGTTATAGATATGGTCGTATATGTGTGATCATATTTTCTGTTGTTTCTCTACAGACTATTCAATGAAGATTATTCAAAATGCAAAGCTCACGATTTTTTCCCGAGGTTTTGTTGTCTCATGTTGTATCTTGACGCAAAACGGAGGAAGACGAAAAACAGAAAGCTCAAATCTAATATTTTCACGGTCTATAATGTACTATTTTGTCTGTGATGGGAAGATCGACTAGTTTAGATCAGACAATACATGCCTAATCTGAATGGTATCTAATCAGTTTGAATGAGATGTGTATGTTTTTGAGGTTTGTAAAGACAATGCTGATCTGAAATGAAACGTATCTTATACGTCAAGCTAAGGATATAATGTGTTAAAGACTTCTTGAGGGTTGATGAGGATATATAGTTATGACAACTGGTATATATCGAGAGGCTTTTTCGCAGAATTTTTTTATGATGATTCACGAGTTTGGATCAGACAATTCATGTCCAATATAAAATGTTTCCTATAAGTTTGTGTGAGTTCTCAACAGTACAAGATTCTCAAGTTCAGAATATATTATATTATAAGATCTTATGAGGATTGATGACAATGATTGACAGTCGTTATATGATTATAATAATGAAACAAGAGATTTCATGCGGAATTTGTTTACTAGTTCCAATCAGACAATGCATGCCCAATCCAAAATGCATTGAATGAGTTTGTATGAGAAAATCAGTTCAAAGATTTGTAATTCTTAATGAGAACAAACGGTTCTAATATTATAGGTTACCAGCAGTTTTTATGAGTAATATAATTTTCGATAGCTCATAACTTCTATTTTGCAAGACACCATTGCGTAGGTACAATTTTTGTGTTCATATAATATCGGAGTCAGTGCTTGAACGCACGTCATTGTTGAATCTGAACATTATACAGGCTGATCCACGGTGGATGGCCTATTAGAAGTATCTGGAGAACGAAAAAACAGAACATTCTGGAAATTGTGATGCTCCGATAATTGGGCATTCTATATCCGTCTAAAATATTTTCATCGATACAGTGTTGCCACTTCTATCAGAAACAACTAGTAACTTCGTTATTTTAAATAAAACACCCTGTATTTTATCGCATTTTTAGATTCTCCCTGAGAAGCTGATTTCATTGATGTATCATACTTGTGGTCTATCAGAAATGATTACAGAGATATAGGGTGTTCAAAATCGAGATTTTTCAATTTTAGGATTTTTTTGTGTCGAAACTATTTATTATCGATCAAAACGGCTTCCATGTCCCTATCTTAACTTTCGGTTCACTATCTACTGACATTTAATTGGAACAGATACAGGGTGATCAGAATTCTGAATCTTTGAGCACCCTGTATTTTTTTCAATCAAATTCCAGTAGATAGTCAAAAAAAAGTTGAAATAGGAACATGTAAGCCGTTTCGTGATTGGGTTTTTCTCAATTCAGAATTTCTTTCCACGCCCTGTATGATAAATGTCAGTTTGTCATACATCTAAAACAATTGCCACCCACATGACTGGAGATAAGTCAACAAATTTTCATTCTCAGATAGATGTCAGTTCCACTATAGTTTTAGTTATATTATTATAGAAATGTGAAAATTGTGTATTAAATGAAGAATGGCTGAAGGAATGACTGGACTTCAGGTTACTGAGGAGAGTTTGAAACTCGAAATGAATTTTATTCGAATCAAAATCATCTAACCTATGTGAAAGAGATGTGCATATATCCCAAACATCATGGATACGGATGATTTTTGATAAATTCACGATATAGGGTGTTCAAAATCGAGATTTTTCAATTTTAGGATTTTTTTGTGTCGAAACTATTTATTATCGATCAAAACGGCTTCCATGTCCCTATCTTAACTTTCGGTTCACTATCTACTGACATTTAATTGGAACAGATACAGGGTGATCAGAATTCTGAATCTTTGAGCACCCTGTATTTTTTTCAATCAAATTCCAGTAGATAGTCAAAAAAAAGTTGAAATAGGAACATGTAAGCCGTTTCGTGATTGGGTTTTTCTCAATTCAGAATTTCTTTCCACGCCCTGTATGATAAATGTCAGTTTGTCATACATCTAAAACAATTGCCACCCACATGACTGGAGATAAGTCAACAAATTTTCATTCTCAGATAGATGTCAGTTCCACTATAGTTTTAGTTATATTATTATAGAAATGTGAAAATTGTGTATTAAATGAAGAATGGCTGAAGGAATGACTGGACTTCAGGTTACTGAGGAGAGTTTGAAACTCGAAATGAATTTTATTCGAATCAAAATCATCTAACCTATGTGAAAGAGATGTGCATATATCCCAAACATCATGGATACGGATGATTTTTGATAAATTCACGACTCAACAAGAACAGAGTATGTATACTAGTATATTTCTCCCATACATTCCAATTTTCATACCAATTTGGTAAGTAATATATTTTTTATATCGTTATATTCATCATAGTATTCATCCGATTCTGGAAGAGAATGTCAATTCTCAATTTCAGACGATATTCATTTTATGCTCAAATTCCTATCGTGTATGTTCAATTGATATAATTCAATGTTCGTCGTGGCATATAGCCAGGAAAGTAGTTGTTTTCTGTTGAATATGCCGAGAAAGAATTAATAATTTCATCACATAGAGAATGCGAATTCTCAATGTATTTATTCAAATGTATCCATTTTTTCATGTTTATAATATATCTGAGAATATTCCTTTTCAATAAAAATCTTAAAATTGAAAAATCTCGATTTTGAACACCCTATATATCTGTAATCATTCCTACTGGACCCCAAGTGTGATGCATTGATGGAATCAGCTCTTTGAAAAGAATCTAAAAATTGCATGAAAATCAGGGTGTTCCCAAAATTATTTTTTTCCAAAAAAACTTCAACACCTTGTACCAACTCAACGAGACGATTTTGGATATAGGTAAGTTGGCCTAAATCAACTTGTTTCTATCCCAGGAGTCCACAGCCGAGCCATGTCCGAACCTTTTACAGATACCCTGTATATTTTATTTGAAAATATAATCATATTGATTGTCACTTTCTCGGAAAAAACTTATTGATTTCTTTTTTTTCCATATATCCAACACAATTTCGTTACAAAACTTTTTCAGACCATCTTTTATCATCTTTTTTTTTTTAATCACACGACCCTGTATATTTCTATATCTTCCGATTTATTTCACGAACATCAGCTCATCAAAACAGACTGGTTCTCATATTGGTACTGGTATAACTTAAATACGCACACAATTCGAAGAGACGAAGAAGCCTGAGGATTTTTGCCAAATAAATCCTCATTCGATCACATAAAAACCTTTCAATATACTTTATGTCCTCATACATTCTCATAATTCCTATCAGCATTGCATCAAGAAACTATTATATATTTTCATACCTACTAGAAACTGATAGATCCACATAAATACCCAAAAAACAAGGCCAAATTCATAACATAGGTTACTCATAAATCCATATAGATTCACATTTGAAAATTCACTTAGAGAGTCATTAAGTCTCCACATAGAGTGGAACACAAAATTTAAGTTGGTAACAAAACAGTAACTTTTTTGCGTTGGTAGTTCTGAGACTGAGCTAGCCACTAGCCAGCCATATTTGTTTTAGTTTATGTTGCTCGCGAAAGAAGGCAGGTATCTCTGTTTAGATTCGAGAGAATACCCATTATTCTGAAATTATTGATGAGAATTGAGGTGTCAATTGCAAGTCATATCATTTGTAGTGTAGTGAATTCGATAGTGCTCCAATCTGAAATAACTTTCGGATAAATGTGAACATTACTCATGATTAGCAACGGAATTCGTTTCTTTGTTCGCACCAAGAGGTTGAACATCCGCCATGATGCACAAACTTGTGGGTATTTTTTATCTCGAATATTGCATCACTTCATCTCCATTGCTGATTCGGATTTATAAAGATTCTTGAGTTTGGAATAGACAATTCATTGCTGATATATATAGGGTTCTATTAGTTCTTGTAGGGTTTATGTGTTTCAAAGATTGAAGGTTAAAAATGACTGGCACAATTTTACACATATCTCGATACCTTCGTATTTTGTTAGTTATTTGTGTAAGGTTTCCAATCACAATACTTAATTATATTTCTTGCTCAATCACGATCCTGAGAAGGTATGATATATGTGTGGAAATCAACAGATATGATCGTAAATGCTATCGTGTGGAAAAACAGGAAACAGTGAGGGCGGCATTTATTAGCTGCAATAAGGAATCCCGCATCTGATTCAATGCGATTGTTATGAGCATCAATTCGATTCAAAACGACTCCAAATTTACAGATTTTAATGGTGAAATTGAGTGTTGATAACAATTGTATCTTACTGGTTATTATGAGCAAAATATCTTCCAGGAATTTATACTGTCGAATGAGGAACTACATATCCGATTACATTGAATCCTCATTGAATGTATGTGGAATGAAATATTCGAGAACCAATGAGATTGTATAAGACATTACTATCCCAATATGCAATGAATTTTATGAGTTTTCATAAGACAATCGATTTTCGAGAATTCACGGGACCAAATGAGAAAGTATGTCACTCACGTGTGTGTGTTTGTATTGGTTTTTGTGAGTTATTTTTCATTTAGAATTATTGAGGAATCAGAACTTCGATCAATACTGAGCTATCCTGGAAGATGTCATGAATGTTCTTATTTCAGTCTATTTCAGGATTTTGATAGGTTCATATAATCGATGAGACTTTGTATCCGTAATCAAATTAGGTACATGTCTTCGTATCAGGCAATGCT